TTATTTCATTAAAACAAGTATATAAGCCTTCATGCCAAATCTGTGTTTGTTAGTTATTTATTTCGCTTTCTGACTGATCTGTCAACAAGCATTAAAATCCCAGAAGTTTTCATTCTATGTGTGTTCATTGACAGACCTTCATAAGGTTGGTAGTTTGGTACGCTAACGAGATTTAGCTTAACAGAAACTGAGTGAAAGAAACACGAATATTTTCAGTGTGACCTGTAGACAATTCATTTATACACCAGATAACTTGAAATCTTTAATGAAAATCTTTTGTTGGGCAGTAAATAAACTCAGTCTTCAATGTACATCAGTCTTTGCTGATATTCTTCTGCTTAACTACTCGATCGAAACTGTAACAATGCAGAAATCAATATTATTGAAAATCAATCTTCATATACTTAGTAATAACAAACTGGACAACGATGACAGTGCCATTATTATTATTATTATTATTTGTCCCTTGGGTTCCTAATGGAACACAGGGCTTCAATAGCACGTCTCGAGTGCTCTCTGTTCTCTGAAATCTTTTGAACCTGGCACCATGACAGTCCAGAAGCTCTCATTTCTTCCTTTCACGATCTCCTCAATGTCACTCTCGCCAAGGACGCCAAACTTGTCGCTTCCTATCGGGGTTCCATTCGAGGGCCTGGTGCGTGATGTCCCCAGTCGGCCATGGTGGTCAGATATGGAATTTAAATACGAGTAGTATGGATAAATAAAAATATTTTGCGAGAGAATAAAAAAGGGCAAAGGCATTATTATTAAATTCCACTACTATTATGCTAAAAAAATATCTTAGGGTAAACTTGAAATAATGACATAGTAAAGATCAAAACTTGTAACTTTTAACTTGCATTCCCTTCTGTTTTATCTACTATTTTTTTGATGTTCATGTCATTTGAACAGACTATTTGCAATACTAGATTTACAAAAATTCTGTATAACTTTTGTAGAAATTTATAAACTCAAGCAACTGATTCAGTATCCTTGGATTATTTCCTTATTTGTTTAAGTACAATAGATAAAGCAACCACATTTCATTTCAACAATTTATATTCATCCTATTATTATTATTATTATTATTATTATTATTATTATTATTATTTATGCCTTGGGTTCCTAGTGGAATATAAGGCTTCAGCAGAACGTCTCCATTTCACTCTCTTCTCTGCAGTCTTTACAACCTGCCTTCACCACTGCCCATAACCTTTCATTTCTTCCTCACATGATCTCCTCCATTTCACCCTCACCTCCGACACCCAACTCGTCGTTTACCCTTTGGATTACACTCGAGGGCCTGGCTTAGTGCATGATGTCCCCAAACCGTCCTCTCAGTGTATGTACAATCCAATACATCTTCACTTTCTTCTGCACGATTGTTGGGCGATATGTTCTTGGTTGGTTCGTTGCGGAGCCAGCCAGAAATCCTCCCTGCTTATTCTCATTATTCTGGCCATCTGATCTCCATCTTCAGTGTCAGTATTGAGTGGGCGTCGGCAGCAGCTGTTGATGAGTGTCTGAAGTGTGTTCGAAATGCTTTGCGTAACTCGCCAAGTTTCTCAACCATCACACAGAAGCGCTGACTTACTTGACTGAATTAGTGTTTAGAATCCGGATCTTGTTCAAGCTTCATGCTGAGTGCCGTGCAATGCAGTAGATCTGCACACTGATTTCAGATTGATGAGGGCCAGTCTTGCTGTTTTTCCGATCCTGACACTGAGGTCGTCATCTGTGCCGCGACCGCCCGCGGTTGAAACGATGCTGCCTGGGTAGGTAAGTAGGTATGTGTGTAGGTAGGTAGGTAGGTAGGTAAAGGAAAGAGACAACTTGCTTAACAGTTCTCTCGTTGATGGTGATTGGTGCTTGTCGTTGACGCTGTTGTTGGTTGGGTATTTTCATCACCTCTGTTGTCTCCTCGTACACCTCAAGGAGGCCTTATCTTCTCTGCCTCGTCCCTTATGTCAACTTGTTACTTTTCGTCTGTAGATCTTCGAGTTTGTGCGACAACACAGTAGACATAAATCATCATCGGTGACGAAATCCAAATCTTCTTCTGGGGTATTTCCATCGGTCCAGCCAGCATATGCCCATCTTCTCGCTCCTCACAGTTGTCTGTTGCATGATCCAGGTCAGTGCAGTTGACCACAATCAGGAAGATCATAGGTGATAGTAGGTGGCAACCTTGTCTTACTCCTTCCTGTCTTCACTTCAAAGACATCACTGAGCTGAACTTTCCATTGTGGCATTGGCCATTGGCATGTGGCGTTGTCATATATCAGTTGAATGAGGTTGATAAGTGTTTGTGACACTGAAAGCATATTGTTGAAGCAGTAGCTGACAAATTACTTCTCGGTTGACGCTGTCAAAGGCCTTCTCGAAATCGGTGAATTTGAGGTAGAGAGTTGACTGCCATTCTACACTCTGTTCTATGATGATGCATAGCCCAGCGTTGCAGTTTGATCCGCACATAATTCGTTCATCCTGAAGCCAACCAACCTGTTCCGGTCGTAATTTTGAATGCAGAGCATCCTTCAAACTCTCCAGGATGATGTGGCATAATATTCTGCTTGCTTTGGGTGGACGAGAGCATGATTCCTCTCCAGTTCTTGCAGAGAATTAGGTCTCTCTTCTTTGGGAAATCGACAATGTAGCCCTTCTTCCAATCCATAGGCAGGTACCTTACCTTCCTTCCAAACCTTCTGCAATAGTAGTGTGAGCGTGTCCGTTATTTTCTCTGTCTATTTTCAGTGATTCTGGCGGAATTCCATCTGGTTTCGCTGCTTTCTCACACTTCAGCAACTTCATGGCATGGCGTTCATGACTTCACTTCTGCTTTTGTAGGACAGCTTGTGTTCACTGATAATTCTATGGCTGGTATGCTGGTGGTATTTCTGGATGAGTTGCAGATGGGGGTGGTGGTGGTCGGTTCAAGAGTTTTGAAGTGGTCAATCCATCACTTTCCTTGTTTCTCCTCTTTCGTAACTAGCTTTCCTTCACTATCTTTCATTGGTTTCATCTGCGTTGATTTCTTCCCAGATAGTAACCTGATTATTTGATTTGATGTTGTCAGGTCTCTCCTACTAGCAGTCTCTTCTGCTTCAATTGCAAGTGTGTCGTAGAAGTGTATTTTGTCTTTGTGCGCACTCTTCTCCACTTCTTCGTCCAGTGTAGTTTTTACAGGTTGTGTTCAGTTCCTGTTTGCGTCGTTCATCCCTGCACTGCACTCCACAACGCTGGTTCATCTTCTGCTTCACCATCTTCCTCACTCCTCCCTCAGCCACCACACCAGCTTCCATGTGTCTGTCGAGATCCATTCCTTCTCTTGTTTCTTCTTCCTTCCTAACATGGTTATGCAGGTTTCCTTCCACGTCTCTTTCACCCAGTTCCAGTGTTCTTCCACACAGGTTTGCTGGGTGATGTTTTCTAATGGCTCCCATTTTGTGCTGATGACTGACTGACTTGAAGATGTCCTTTGTAGTTTCATCCTTCAGTTCAGTGTCTATTCTGAGTGTTCAACGTCAACTGTGGTCTATCACCAACCTTCTTGAAGATTTTCAACTTGATTTTGAAGGCAGGTTCCTTGCACTAGATAGTGAGTAGTGTGAGCCTACATCTCTTCCCCTTCTTCATCTGATCTTGTGTCCAGTCGGCTGAGTCCTCACTTCCTCCACATTGAGATGAAGTCGATCTGATTTTTAGTGTGTCCTAGTGTCTGGTGAAATCCATGTCGCTCGCATTGTGAATATCCTTGTGTTTGTACACACCAACTCCAATCACGAAATCGTTGAATGCGAAGAAATCTGCTAACAGTTGTCCGTTCTCATTCATTTCACCCAGTGCCTCTTGACCCATGATCAGTTCTCTTCTTGTGTTGTCTGCTCGGAGTTTGACATTCACGTCGCCCATTTAAAATCATGATGTCTCCAACTGGGGTGGGGTCTTGTCCTGTACTGATTGCAGTTGTCTGTAGAACTCCTCCTTCTTCTCTTCATCTGCATTATTTGTAGGTGCATAGAGTAGCACTGTATGATTGTGACTTTCCTTCCTTTTGATGAGTTGAATCTTGCTGTCATGATCCTGATCGTGGAGGAGATTGGTTTCCACTGCCTGAGAGCCTTCAATGCTGTTGGAGACAACATGATAGCCACTCGAAAACTCAGTGTGCTTGTGGTTGTCGTCTGGATGAGAATATTGGAGTAGATTATTGACTCCTCCCCAGTTGACAGTTTGGCGAGTCCACTTCTATTACATCTTCAGATTCCTCTGAGATTCCCAGCCTAGCACTTCTATGCTATAACTTCTCATCTCTTTTGCAATCTGGGAAGCCTTGCCAGCCAACTTCAAACATTGTGCTGACATTTCATGTCTCCATGTTTACTTTCGCTTTCATCGTGGGAGAGAAGACACATTGGCGAATTGGCTTCCCGAAGGCTTTCACCAACTGGCGTCATTTTTTCTATTCAATTCCAGAGAGGAATAAGTTTATTTTTATTTTTTATATTTACTTTGTGCTTCGAAGTTTGTTTAGCAGTTGGATTGGTTTTTCGGTGTAGGGTTTCTAGGCCAATGCCTTAGCTCGTCTCTTTATCCGGTCTTAGGACGGGGCAATAACTAGTAACTAGGGAACAAGTTACCTAGTCGAGTTTGTATTTATCTTAAGGTAACATAATTAATTGGAATCTAAATAGATACGAGTAAAACTAGTTTATCATATTGACTTTGATTTGAGCAATTCGAATTAAATAATATAAGGATTCAGACAATCAACGTTCTTCACTCCTATGGTTTTTTCATAATTTGCTTTCTGGCTTGTTGTAGCAATGCATTTTAAGTGTTCATTTCAAATATCCCCAAAATGTTTTAACCTTTATCAAAATAATAAAACGACTATTGGCAGTGCGAGACACAGTTAGTTAACTTAGAATAATCTGTTATATTATAATGAGAATAAGTCGGTTTATATGTACAAATCTTTGTTTTTCATTTATTTGTAGGATTGTTTTAAAAATTATGAGGAGCGTCAGAAATATAAGTCTATAATCCAAGATACTCCCTTATATCAAATATATACGGAAAAGGTTGCACGTAACGAATCAAAACGTGACGCTCGACGTTTATTGGGTAAGTTACTTTGAGTTTATTTGCTACATTTTATCAATTCGAAGGTCAAAAATTGAAGAATAGTGTTATACTTGTTTCCTCAAAAATGAGCGAAGTTCATTTGCACTGATTTTCATACTTTGGACTTATCTCTCAATAAGTTTTCTATACTCTTATGATCATGAATTTGTAGAAATCACTCAAATAAATATTTGTTCATTGATTTCGATGAATAATGAACAAGTCAATTGAAATCCCTCATGTTTATTCGATCTTTTAAGACAGTCTGTTACCGATAGGTGCACAAAAGCATAGCTTTATTATAGGTTATAAAGATCACGTTGATAAACACGTATTCAAAGTCATTAATTTCGAGGGCCTTAAGTTATTATATGTTCACAATTTGTGGAATGTTAAGTGTCATCAGTTTTTAAACAAGTCGTGAGTGCTTTCATTTTTGATTAACTTTTTAGATATAAATGTAAAACTTGGGGACTGTGGCAGAATGTAATTCCATATTACATTTGCTTATTTTATATATAGTACACAGTATTATATACCTCATGACGTTTCGAGCATAAATTGTTGCTCATATTCATATCAATGTAACACTGATATGATTATGAGCAATAATATAATCTCTGAAGGTCATCAGGTGAATAATGCTATATCACTATGAACTATACATTAAATAAACGAATTTAATAAGAATTTATAAAGTCAGTGCGTTATTTACCTTATTCTTAAAAACCGAAATTAATCCTTAATCAATATTCTACTTATATGAGCATTTAAGTGTTTTTATCGAAATCTAATAAATTTTGGGTAATTTTAAGCAGTAAAATATCTAACTATTCCAACGCAAATTGATGATTATCAATCACAATATTGAAAAACAACCTATTTCATCATTAAGCAGTGAGATCAGCAGAAAACTCAGAAACACCAACTTGTATCAAATTGATATCCGAAATTCATAATTTGTAACATGCTGATTTATGAAGTAATTTTAGTGATTACGGAAAAGATGTATCAAAATTGTGAATATCCTGAGACAGAGAGAGAAAAGTGGGAGTTTTAAGTTATTCGCTAAATCCAAGGTAGCAGCAAGGGTCGAACCTGTTTCTTCTGTACACATCATTTCAGTCTCCTCATCTGTATGACAAAAGCTTCTGGAGTACAGAGAAGTCAGAGACGTACACTTTTCGGCAAATGTTTTTTATCGTAGTAGATAACTCCGAACGCTGAACCAGTTTTAGTGCTGTAATAGGTGTTGTATAGCCGCTAATTCATCGCACTTCTGACGAACCCACTCATACCTCTTTGCAGCCAGGGGGGGTAATGTTCTCTAACTCGTTTGTAAAAAGCTCTCATCGTACGATTTTCACAGGAGCAAGTAAATTAATGAATACACTGATCAGATGCAGAAGTTTATTCCTCGGGTTGCCAGGAATCACTGGATGGCTGGAAAATACAATGCTAAACGTTGGTGCGAAAAAGACTTTTTTGACTAGTTTAAAATTGTTCTTTTGAACGTCAACTCTGTCCCTATTTCCGAATATTCACAATTTCTTTGCATTTTATTATTTATTTCAATAGCCCAACATAATCTTCAATTTGTTCCCTTGTTACTCTTGATACCACTTTTTCTTGAAAATTATTTGTGCATATCGTGCAACTTAACATTCGATCCTGTAAATTATGTTGGTTCCTATACTCAGTTGTTATAAATTTTCACCCTTGTTAAAATTTGTCAGTTTTTGATTTTCAATGAAGTTGATCTTTCTTACTAGGTTAAACTAAGTAGTGCTTGTAACTATTCAATAAATTGGAACGAAAATGTATTAATTGCAATTGTATAGCTGTAGAGAAAGAAATCTTTCTTCTAGATTTTAGTGATCATATGCGGCGTTCACCGTTATTCGAAATCTGTCGGTGGGATGAGTTATCTGACCATCCATCAGAAGAATAGTTTACTCCACAGAATGTGACTTTAATTTATAGTTGTGAAGTTGAAATACATCAGAAAATTCAGACTGTTTGATCATAGTGTTTTTGTACCATATAATCTGAGTGGGGCAAAAACACTGTATGAGTGAAGTTAACTTAGGTGTATCCTGCTAGAACTGTTTTGTGTTTGAAAACCAAATACTTAACGGAACAGAAGATGGGGATTTTAGCATCAGTTATTGGTAGAATAGGTAGCAGCTCCTAGATATTGACATATGATTGTTTTACGAAGTTCTAAGAGCTAGTTTGATTCGTTTCAAAAAGTTTATAATTCCCACTAGGGTCACAGATATATGAGAAACTACTCCTTGAAGACTGTATGTCACTTATAACCGAATAACTATCAGTTTCATTATAATGTCGAACGTAATATTATTCTTTCACAGTTTACTTTCTCTCCCCTCGCATCATGTATATTCTGTCTACCATATTCAAAGCTTCTTCGGTCTTCTTTTTTATGTATTTACAAAGGGTAGCAATGTGAACTAATGTACTTTTCTGACACGTTCGATATCTTTATGACTTCCTCCCCATTTCAAGTCGTCCATTTTAGAAAATGATGAATGAATGCAAAATGAAATCATTATATCTTGTGTAATTGTGTATATAACTTGGCACCCTTCTGCCCATTTAATAAAATAAAACATTTAGTGACGAATAATGAACTGTCTGTGATAACGTTGACGAACCTCTTAAGCCATTGGGAATTCCTCATCCTCATATCTTTAAGTCAAATTTCATAAGTTGATAGTTCGTGAGATAGGAAAATGCCTTTACTTATAACCTGGTATAATACCATCTGTTATCTTCACTATTCATTTTATCGTTTTTTGAAATAAGCTATTGGCACCTAAGCCTTTTGATTCTACCTCCAGTCTATTTTTATTTTTAACTTCTGGATGCTGTGATACGACTGGGGATTGCATGAGACGATCATTCTATGGAAAAGCTGTATGAGGACTATGTGTGTATAGACTCTACCAAGAAACTAATACTCGGTGCCTTCACTTAGTGACAGTCTTCGTACAAACGTTAAAGAGTGTGGATTTCTGGCACTGACATCGAAATGGGTGAATATATAAACAGATCAGTTAGATTTTTAAGCTGTACTTCTGAACCAGTGTCGTTTTGAGGCTTCGGTGTTCAGAAAGAGATATATGCACCCAGTTTCATTACCGACAACCATGGGTATGCAGTACCTGATGTTTCCCCACCACTTTGAATAATAGGGTTTAGGTCATGACTTCATATATAGGTCCCTTAAAACAACAACAAGAAACCAATACACTGTGCATCGAAGTTTTGATTTAGTCGTCCCATTTTCTATCGCAATATCGTTGCCTACTTGCATTGTGTTTTCTCTCTCATTTTCAAATTCGTCCTTATTTGCTTTCTTGTTTCACTCAAATAACAACGGAATATCAGTATATAATAGTAAATGAATGTTCCTAAAACATTATGAAACTGATCAGGACATAAAACTATGAATCAATCTTGGAATCATTTTATTAAAACAGTTGTGACTCTAGAAGTGATCAAAAATGCTTGCGTCTCTGTGTGTTGGTTTTTAGTTTTAATGTTCTTTCATTAAAACAGCGTGTTGGTAGATTACTTTTTGTCACCTGGGATTTACAGAAGTGAAGCAATTTTAATTCATTAGAGGATTGTTTGGAACGATGAATTTTACTCAACTTCATTTTAAATAACTGCACTTAATAGACCGCACCGAAATTATGTATTCCTCAACATTTGTCAAGTGTTAGACATTGTACTGTTTGTCAAGTATGATTTTAGCCAAGAGAACGACTGATTTTAAACAACCAATTGGTGAATTATAAGTGTTTTGCTATCATCCTTGAAATACTTGAATCTAGTTTCTGTAAAAATAAGCAGACTGAATGGATAAAAGATAATAAATGATAACTCATTTTTATCAAACACTGATATTGTTACTTACAACCTAATGGGGAGTAATGTGAAGCTAGTGATAATGTACTTTAATTACACACTATCAACGAATACGTTGTTTTATTGAATCAGTGTGTTTAGTGATTATTGTCCTACATAAATGTTAGGATTTCAGGCAACTGTGAAATATTGTAGTCATACTTCGGTATTCACAGCGTTAGCCTTTAAAATATTAATTTGCAAATCAGTTGCCAAATGAATAGTGAATATTATGGTATTTTGAAGAATAACCTGCGGTTTAAATTAGGCAATTCAACTAATATCAGTATTATTCTTGTAAATCGCACTGCTTTAATGCAGTGTATAAGTTCTAGAAGGAAAACCACCCTGAAAACATGATGTGCTATTCCTTAACCATCTATGAGAATCTCAGTAGTGCCTTACTACAAACTTATACAGAAAAATAACTTTGCTTATCAGTGGTATATGTCATGGTGACACACTTTATTTACCAACTTCTTGTGGACACAAATTCAATAATTTGCATATTTTCATGGACGTGTAGCTCTAACATTTTGTCGAAGAAAAAAGGCTACTTGGTTGAACTTTTCAGCTGGACATTCAGCTAAGCTTATGTGTGGGATAACTACCTATCTTCCCAATGCTTACGCAAGTATTCTTAGCAAAATCTCAATTCACGCAAGTGCAAATATTTTCGGAAATTAATTTGTTCTCAATACAATTTTGGTCTCATCATCTGCTCACATGTGTAAAATAGCACATATGATTGAACTATAAAAAGCTTTTGTGGTCATTCATTGACTACCTAAACTATTAAAAAATAACACCGTAATAAATGATGATGTAAATAATGAAGTGGTGTTCTTTTTGTTTATGTTAGTCACTTGTGTACTGAAGAATATTCTACTAACTCATTACTTTCCTATATCAAACAACCAACAGTTTTCAAGACAGACACATCATAATAAGTGTAAAATCGTAATGTGTTACTTCAAATCCTGTAGACATGAAGACCAACTTTTTACCTGCTATGTTTAACAAAGTTGAAAACTTTCCAGATGGTCTGTAAAAAAGAAAAATAT